GGAGCCTACGATGTTTATCATTTGGATAACACGGTGGCGGGATGTTAACTACCTCGCACGGTGTGCAGGGAGGTCGTGGGTTCGATCCCGACCCTGACGCCTATTGTATATTTTGAGTTTACATGTTCTGCCCGTGGTGGCGTGGATTTTTCCCCAGCTCCTGCGGTTTTTCACTCCACATGTAGAATCGTGCATTGGGAGTATTTGCTTGCTACAAAGTTCCACACGATAAGCCACTTCGTTGAGCTACAATTTTTGTCACAGAGCTATACAGCTCAGTGGGCCTGACCTGGTAAAATAGTTTGGTTTAGTTTATTCATGCTCTACATTCACAGGGCCCGCGTGTTCCAATTAGTAACAAAAAAATCAGACAGATGTTAAACTTTCTGATTGGGCGCCATTTGGCTTCGCCCCTGGTTTCTGAGTCATCCCTTTATTTGTTTATCTATCGAAGCAAACTCCGGTCATCCTCGCAACAGCGGCGGCTTTTGGCTGGCCATCGAGCAAAGACGGTTACTGTATCGCGCGCTTTCAGATGCGGCTCCTACGCCGTCTGGAACGCTCTTCCGTTTGATATTGGGAAGCCACGAGAGCTATGCACTTTCTAATCTATATTGAAAACTACTTTCTTTAGAACGACTTTTTTGTGTTTAGTTTGTCCTTTCTCCTGTGCCTCTGATCAGCACGATTGACTACGTACGGTGCAAAAGAAGTTCAACATACAAAAGCAATTACCGAAATAATGGATTACTGCGAAGGATAGCATAAGCGAACCCAAGCAAGCATTAAACATCATTGACTGTGTATATGCTATCACCTCTCTGAAAGCTCAATTTACACGCTGTGAAGAAACCTCACCTATTATATTTTTTTCATTTTAGAGGCAGTGACGAATGTGGTTCGATTTTTTTGTCGTTGTTAATTGTTGCTTGTGCACCAGAGTCAACACAGCAGCATCACCAAATGGTGTGTTTAAATAAATAAATAGTACCACGTCCCTCTGGTCGCAGAAGTAATCGAGGAGAGGAGCTGAGCACACGGAGTGAAGCCTTGGCACGGACGAGAAATTTGTCGTCTCGAGCTGTACCAAGAACCGTTCCGGCACGGCTTGTGACTGGTTTCTAATTGGCGTGGAAACGCGGCACGAGCGCGTGTGTGTGTGTTGAACTTTTTTCACACCGTACGTAGCCAACCGAGCTAATCGGAGGTGCGGGAGTGGGCTGCTGCGAGGACAATGACTCTCCGGGCCAGCCCAGTGCCATCATTGACGCAGCACGTTGTCGCTGGTTATCAAAATCAGAATATTTATTTATACTGGAGGAGAAATCCGATGAGCTATAAAGCTCTTTTTCACACGTTCAGTAGGGGCAGATCAGAACGTTGCAACAACAAAAGATAAAAAAACACGATAGGAGTGCAAAGTATAGGAAAGGTAAACAAATCGCTTTCAAATATATATTTTAAAAAATATTTAGTTACCAGGTGAAGCCGACTGAGCTATAAACGTATTTTTCAGAAGCGACCTTGCCACAAATGATAGCTAATCTGTGTTGCCAACAAGAGAACGTAAGACATTTGGGGTCCCACAGAAGAAGCGGTATCCGTCGCAGCGTCAAGGACTTGGATAAGATTGCATACCGGAATGGAAAAGATTCACATAGAATACAGTTTAAAATCCTATTTTTAACTTACAAATCAGCGAACCATCTTGCCCAAGCCTACACCATTGACGTGCTGCACCCACATCTCCCCTCAAGATCCCTACGATCTGGGGGATGCAGATCTTCTCTGCATTCCCAGGTCGAGACTGCTCTATGGGTGACCGATGTTTTCCCCGTGTAGCCCCCAGGCTATGGAACGCTATTCCACGAGACATCAGGGATCTCCGAGTCTCTGGTCATTAAAAAAAAAATCGTCATTAAACCTATTTAATCGCTTCCGCTTATTAAACGTTTTCTTAATTTAGTAAATTGATTCTTAAAATGTATTTAAACATAATAATTTTTTTTATGCCGAATGTCTGCTGCTGCTCCTGTCCAGGGCTTTGTGATCCTTGATGAAAATCCGCGATATAAATGGAATTAAATTTAGACTTTTAACTTTCGTGACTGCAGGAATTCATATTCTTGGTTCTTTCGGTAAAGTCACGTAAAAAAATGAATAATAATAAAAGAATAAGATAAAATTAAAATACAATTTTAAATAATAATTTTAAAATAATAAAAGAGGGGGTGGGGCAGAGATGGGGGGGGGGGAATCGATGGCTTCGTGAACGAATCTTTGTTGATAGCCAGTCGGATTGCAAAGTACCATCGCCTTAGAGAAATCAATTTCATGTGAGCCAACCGCATTAAAGTAATGATCAGCTACGGCAGAAGAATTGGTCCTGCCGTGTTTCAGATCTATCTCTGCACTACCCCCTCTCTCTCCCCCCGTCTCTCGCGCAGCCCTATCCCCCACTCACTCTGGAACCCTTATAAGCAGCTATATTTGGAGGCTTGCCCCCACTTTTCTCTCCACCTGATGAAGACCGCTTCTGTTGCGATCGAAACGTCGTGGGTTTTTTAATTTTATTATTTTCAATTTATTATTTTATTTTATAATTTTTTTCTTATTATTTTTCTTTTATTTTCATTTTTTGTTTTATATTTACGTGACTTTGCTGAAAGAACCAAGAGTATAAATGGAATTATATTCTTGGTTCTTTCGGTAAAGTCACGTTGAAGGGAAACAATAAAATAATAAAATATACATGAAACAATAAAATTCTCAGGACGTTTCGACTGCAACACAAGCAGTCATCATCAGGTGTGAAAACTATCAACGGTTTTCACACCTGATGATGACTGCGTGTGTTGCAGTCGAAACGTCGTGAGATTTTTATTGCCTTATATATATTTTATTATTTTATTGTTTCCCCTTCAACGTGACTTTACCGAAAGAACCAAGAATATGAATCACTGCAGTCACGAAAGCTTTAAATCAAAATATAAATGGAATTGTTACGATTATCCGCTGCCAACACACAATGCCCCGCAGCAGGAGGAAGCCTTCCTCTGCTGACTCACCACCGTGGTTTTGCTTAGCGCAATGACCACCGAGAGGTGATGTGGGGAACGTTGTTCTGCGCTGCGTCCATCACAAGGGCCCGTCATCATGTCACGTCGCTTTTTTTTTTGTATCGCAATCTTAACTCCAGGGCATAACACTAAATAATCGTCGTCATCATCGTTGTGGAGAATATACCGTAAATAATACGCCGGATAGGCAGACAATTCATCGGTGTCATTCACACATATCCATCTCCACATATAATAATAATAATAAAAGACACTTTCACCCAGGCACCGGGGTTCCAACCCAGGCTCTGAGAGCTGCTGGCTCAGTGTCTCTGCGAGGGCCATGATGTTCCTGCTGAGACATGTACACAGCACCTGACTTATACCTCACATGTCCCGACGCGTGAATGATCTCACCGACAAGACGCGCGCAGCACCACGACTCGAGCCCTCGGTTCAAAGACGTTTCGAGTCAGGGGCCTGGCAGGGGCATTCATTCGTTAATCGCTCACCCAGGGGCCAAGTCCGTCGATCATCCCTGGCCGTGACCACGTGGGGTCGCAGCAGCCTCGCAGCACGCACATTTGATCGTGCATGTTGTGTGGATGTATGCTGTGCGCGCATATATGTTGTGTATGCGTGAATGCTGTGTAGGAGTCATCCATAAATGACGTCACGCGATTTTGGCCGATTTTTGACCCCCCCCCCCCACCCCCCAGTCACACGACGTCACAAAAAGTCAGACCCCCCCCTCAAATATGACGTCACAAAGCTCTGCCCCCCCCCCCGAAAAAAATTAAATATCCTTCAAATCGCTTTAAACTATTGTCATTGTAGTGCGTATTTAATGTGGCGCTGCACTCTGATGTTGTAGGAGAAAACATTAAAAAGTCTATTTAATTAAGTGGAACGTGTTGTCTATAATCACATTAAAAGTTGCGCATTTTGATGTGACGTCACATTTCTCACCCCCCCCCCCCGTCACATCGTCACAAATGTCTGACCCCCCCCCCCCCCAGGTGCGTGACGTCATTTATGGACGGCCTCGTATGTATGGATGGATGTTGTGTATGTACAGTATTTTGGGTATGTATGTTATCTATGCATGTTGTGTAATTATGTATGGATGTTGTCTATGTACGTATGTTGTGTATGTATGGATGTTGTCTATGTATGTATGTTGTGTATGGATGTTGTCTATGTACGTATGTTGTCTATGTATGGATGTTATCTATGTACGTATGTTGTGTATGTATGGATGTTGTCTATGTACGTATGTTGTGTATGTATGGATGTTGTCTATGTACGTATGTTGTGTATGTATGGATGTTGTCTATGTACATATGTTGTGTATGTACGTATGTTGTGTATGCATGGATGTTGTCTATGTACGTATGTTGTGTATGCATGGATGTTGTCTATGTACGTATGTTGTGTATGTACGTATGTTGTGTATGCATGGATGTTGTCTATGTACGTATGTTGTGTATGTATGGATGTTGTCTATGTACGTATGTTGTGTATGTACGTATGTTGTGTATGTATGGATGTTGTCTATGTACGTATGTTGTGTATGTACGTATGTTGTGTATGTATGGATGTTGTCTATGTACGTATGTTGTGTATGTACGTATGTTGTGTATGTATGGATGTTGAACTTCTTTCGCACCGTACGGGAGCCAACCGCGCTCATCGGAGGTGCGCGTGAGCGGGGGAACAACAAACTAACACACAGCCAGCGGGTGCGAAAGACATAAGACTATCAATCTAGACGATTTCAAAGTGCCACAGCTCCAGTGGCGTCCTAATGTCGGAAGGTGGCGGTGTCTTTTTCCAAAGACGTCGGCCGGTTAATGACCTTCCTTCCACTGAGATATCCATGATTGCGGACAAGTTAGGCCGTAATAACATGCGCGAGATGAATTGGCGTTGACACGTTAATTTGGGCTTCAAGTGTTTATTTGCGATCTCAAATCCGAGCCGATACACACGCGGTATATGGTGGGTTCGTAATTTCATTCACGCGGTAAGTACAGGGTAGCTTAAATATGTTTAACACTTATATGGGACTAACGTTTTTAATGGAAAAAGAACGGATTGATGCACTGCAAACATGATAACAAATGTAATGTTAATAGCTTCAAAAAGTCAAAGAGTCTCTCCCACGTGTCCGCCATCGTTGTCAACCACGTGGCCTGGAATCTTCTCCAGGTGGTCTCCAGAGCCCGGAGGCAGCAGCACGTGTCACGTGGTATTCTCGCAGATTCTCCGAAGTGTTAACATTTTTTTGAAGCACCCTGTATTTGGTGCGTTCATAATTTCATTCACCAATCCGGGTGCGCACCCCGAACCCCCCTCCCTCCCCCCCTTGAGCTACTTTGGGCCATAAACAGCATTCAGTTTGTGTGGCCGCCGCCACCACTTGCTCACGACAGCCAAACAGTCATCAGTGGCAGTCGTTATGCACACCTCTCTACTGCTGCTGCTGCTCGGGTGATAATTTACATTTGTTAAAGCGGCGCATTTCATCCGTAGATCCCAACAATGCGCCACGGCCGTGCATGGAAAGCCGGGAAATAAACAGAACCTGCAGGTTAACCGGCCAGAACTAGGCGGGGGAAGGGGGGGGTAGATGCCAGTTTAAAGAGGGTAAGTTATCAAGACAGATGTAAACACCTTTAACGCCTCTGATTGAATTATTACCGAAGGGCAACGCGTTCCGTCATCCACCTATCCACCTATCCACCCTCACCCCCACCCCCAGGGCTACACATCCACCCATCCACCCTCCCCACCACCCTCGGGCGAGACATCCACACATCCACCCTCGCCCCTACGCCGCCCCGGGGCTACACATTCTCAACCTTGATCTTCGAGAAGCACAGCGCGCACGACTCGCACACCGGGTCGAGGCAGCAGCGGATGCACGTGGCGCTGAACATCTGCAGGCAGATCATGTTCATGCGACACATGCGCAGGCACGGCGTCACGTTCCACACGTGGTAGAACTGCGCGCACGCGAAGTCGCAGCCCCAGCAGCACGAGAGCGGCACGGCGCACAGCACGGAGAGCAGCAGGTAGCAGAACCACTTGGTGCCGTTGTAGGTCCTGAAGGCGCACCTCCACACGCCGGGGATGCTGTGCGAACCCTCCGGCTCGGCGAACACGTCCTCGAAGAGCACCTGCCGCGTGGACACGTGGGCACGGACACACACACACACACAGAGAGAGAGAGAGAGAATGACAGGTTTCCAAAAAAAAAACTTGTGGCCCGGTAAAGAAGAAGCTTTTGGGTGCTGCCGAATTCGGGGATTTAATGCCAACCGAGAGAGTAAAAAAGCAATGAAGTGTGCACATGAGAGGTAATAAAATATTTTAAGAATTAAAAACAAATTCGTTTTCTCATTAATTTCCACACACGGATCGGATCACCGGCCCTCGGAATGAACAGAGATTATAAAATGGAAAGTAAAGATATTTTAAAGAAACCAAGCCGTAAATTTTGATTTAAAGCTTTCGTGACTGCAGTAATTCATATTCTTAGTTTTTTCGGTAAAGTCACGTTGAAGGGAAACAACAAAATAATAATATAATATATATGACCGTTTGAGTTATGGTCGAAACGTCGTGAGAATTTTTTATTGTTTTATATATATTTTATTATTTTGTTGTTTCCCTTCAACGTGACTTTACCGAAAAAACTAAGAATATAAACCAAGCCGTGTTAATTTAAAAGCGTCCCACTCAATACAGTAACATAAATTGACACGTGTATTCCCAACGACTGTTTTTAGAACACCGAGAATAATCGGAAGAAATTATTATTTAATATTCAATACATTTTTACACCTACTCAGTTTATCACGTAGGCTTTCGCGACAAACCTGGCTGTTGCCTGATGAAGCTAATTGTAATTATTGGCGAAACGTCGAACTCAGATTGTGAATGTTGTGGAGTTGCTCTCCAACACACCGGTGTGCTGTGCTAGTAACGAATTGGTATCTTCTGTTTACGTGACAAACCTTACTAATTGGCTGTGTCGGGTTGTGGCGGGTTTACCGACACATTTATATTTAAGCGATCTAATCAAAACATTTTTGATCATGGATTCTTCCAACTCATTGCCATTTAGCGGCGCTGCGCAGAGACGTCAACAAACTGAGTTCCAGTCCTGGCCAGGGGCTATCATCAGCGGCCGAGTGATATCGGAACTGCTCCTCGCCCCGTCTCTTTACCAACCCGCACTGACCAAAGTGATGAAGTATGGTCAATCAACGGCCATGACTGACAAGGCGGAGGGCCTTCATCCAGCAGTGGATTTATGAAAGCCTCCACATTATTATCATCTAGCGCAAGTGTTCTTCACTCATTTTCAGAGGGGGGCCACTTTTGTCGATGAGATATCATCAGTGTGAGGGCCGCTACACATTTGAAACCATTGGGGGTTTGACAGCAGCATGATGGGGGGGGGGGGGGGGGGGGGGGGGGGGTAAGTCCACTGATCTCATCAGAAAGCTCGACTGCGTGTGTGTGTGCGTATGTATCTCAGGGGTCGGCAAACAAAAGAAGAAGAAGAGGCATTTTTTCGAATACAAAAAAACCTCTATAAATATCAAGAGCCACAATGCATATGGTGAATACGAGAGACGGTGGGGTTCTTAATAAATAAAACACGTCATGAAGCAGTCCTCTAAAGATACCCACGCGGCCCCTGAGCCGTTGGCTGCTGCCGACTTCTATACCCACACAAAACTACTGCACCTATGCAGTTGCTAAACTTCGTCCTGTCTCCAAACACAAACACAATGTTTTGATCGGCCTCTTGGCTTTCCGGATCCAAACATTATCCCGACAGGATCTGTTGATGGGTCGAGCAAACTATGAACCGGTTTCGATTTTCAGGATCTCATCGGAAGCGGAGTCAGACCTGTTACGTCTATTATAATCTCGCGTACGGCAATTGTTTTCTGAGCTCAATGCCAATGTCGAGGTTTGCTGGCCCACGAAGAGAGGGCTTCCGGAGTTAAGCGTTCAAGTAGTTTTGCTGTTTCTCCTCCGTTGAAAGAATACCGTTGGAAAGATCATTACATCTAAACTATGGGGGGCATGAGTTATGGTCGAAACGTCGTGAGAATTTTTTATTGTTTTATATATATTTTGTTATTTTGTTGTTTCTCTTCAACGTGACTTTACCGAAAAAACTAAGAATAAGTATAAAGCAATGTTGGATACTAACTCGTTATCTGTTGTGGATCATTATATGGGTACTTTCGTATAAAATACGAACAGAACTCGGCTTCTGCGTCTCCACGTGTATGTTTGTATGTTGAACTTCTTTCGCACCGTACATAACCAACCGTGCTAATCGGAGGTGCGGCGGAAGGACAACAACCTAAATACTAAAATCAGTTCTAAGGAAATGAGTTTTGAATTTCGATTATTTGAAAGTGCACGTAGCTCCAGTGGCTTCTCAACATCGGAAGGGGAGAGCGTTCCAGACGGCCGCCGAAGTGCGTCCGAAAGCGCGCGATGCGGTGACCGCCTTTGTTCGTGGCCAGCCAAAAGCGGCCTTTGGTGTGCGCAATGCGTGTGCGGTACTCACTCGAACGTGCTCGTTGATATTGACGGGGTCTCGGTTCTCCATATCCAGGGTGTCCACCGAGGGCAAGTGCTTAGGCATGGCTAACTATTTGTTGTGTTCTCTGCCGTGTGCGCGTTAATCTCTCTCTTCCTGTCTCTCCGTCTCTCTCGCGCGAGTGAAATCCAACTCTCGCCTCGTTGTGAGCGCGTCTCGGCCCTTTTAAAGTTCGTGTATCCCCTGGAGACCGCGATGCTTTCCTGGTGGGTGTCGTACTCACAGCGCCCATTCACATCCATTCATTCACTCGCTCTCTCGAGGGCGGAGCGACAACTGTTGCGGCAACACCTCCCCTTCTCTGCGCGGCTGTGCCTATAGCGACCCCGCTGTTTGTCGCCCGCTGTCGTTGGTGGAGGGTTCGGTTTTTTGTTTTGTTGAATCCCACGCTGGAGGTCGGGCGAGAGAGATATCCCGCGCACGAGATCGGCGAGATCCGCCTGGCGACAGTTCCACATTCACGTGAATGGTTCTCTCTCTCTCTCTCTGTACTATTCGCAAACGCCCCGTGGGGTATGATCACCATGCGTCATGATCATCATGCCATCATCATGCCACAGGGCACGATGGTCATCATGCGAGCTCCGGTCACCATGGCAGCAGCGGATTTTGGCTGGCTATCGAACAAAGACGGCGGTCACCTCACTGCGCGGCGCTTTCAGATGCGCTGCTTCTGTGGCCGTCTGGAATGCACTTCCTTCCGATATTAGCAAGCCACTGGGAGCTCATATTCTTAGCTCTTTCGGTAAAGTCACGTTGAAGGGAAACAATAAAATAATAAAATATATATAAAACAATACAAATTCTCACGACGTTTCGACCATAACACAAACGGTCGTCATCACCTGAAAGAGCTAAGAATATGAATTACTGCAGTCACGAAAGCTTTAAATCAAAATCCACTTGGAGCTGTTCACGTTTAAATAATTCTAGATTGACAAACTGTTTTCTTTGGAACTGCTTCTTGTGTTTAGTTTGTTGTCTTTCCCCCGCACCTCCGATTAGCACGGTTGGCTACGTATGTTGTGAAAGAAATTCAACATGCATACATGACATGAGTGTGCCGTGTCTCCAGCCAGGTGGCTCAGCGGTATAAGAGCGAGTCGGCTCGCAATCGGAAGGTTGCGAGTTTAAGTCATGGTTGCGGGGGTTGTCCAGCCCATAATCGTTCTGGGGTCGATAATGTTGGTTCCGCTTCGTAAGGAAAGTTGTCGACAGTGGTGGTTCTGTACACAGACTTGCACGCTTACACATAAAACAGTCAGTTATAGCCTTAAAATGTATGCACACGTGTGTGTATGCATGTAACTGCTGTTGTGTAACCATAGGCAATAACATCTCAACGGATCGATAGGAATGGTTCTTTTGCTGTACGTAATGAGCCAGGCGGCTCAGCAGTGGAGCGAGCTGCTCGCATTCTGAATGATGCGAGTTCAAATCCGGGTTGTGGAGTTGACTCTGCCCATCATCCCTCCCGGGTCGATATAGATTAGTAAGCGCTTTGTAAGGGAAGTCTGGTCCCCGCTATAGAACTAATAGAAGTATCAACATTCCAACAATGGCTCATTAGCCTCCAGTATCTTCTGATGGTTTATTTTTTATCAAGTAACTTGTAATTCTTGGGGGGAATGTTGCTGCTGTTGCTGCTGCTGATGATACAAGGAATCCTCAAGGAGTCACGTGGCTTTAAAGAGGCACCTCCATCGGAATGTTTGGCAGATACCATCAATGCGTGGGTTGCTTGTGTGCGTGTGACTCAGGGGCAAGTCGCACACGCGAGACGGAGGTAACAGTCAAACGCTCCGCACAGATAGTCTCAGTAATCCATTGTGGCTCTGTCATATCCCGGCCATATTGGTGACGACACCTTTGCTGCTGATGCTGATGCTGCTGTTGCTGCTGATGATGCTGATGATGATGCTGATGATGCTGCTGCTGACGATGATGATGATGTTGATGATGCTGCTGCTGATGCTGATGATGATGCTGTTGATGATGCTGATGATGCTGCTGCTGATGCTGCTGCTGATGCTGATGATGATGCTGATGATGATGCTGATGATGATGATGCTGAGTATGTAACTTACGTATGCTGAACTTCTTTCGCACCGCACATAGCCAACCGCGCTACTCAGCAGTGCGGCGGGTGGGGGGGACGAATATAAGAAACTAAAGTGAGTGACCGTGTCATGAGTCAGGCCAGCCTGTGGCGTGAACAGTACATCTCACGTTACTGTCAGTGGGCGGAGGCGGGAGGGGGTGGGTGGGTGGGCAACGAAAAACTGAACTCGTTGTCGTCCGTCACATCTGCGCCCAGAAACAATGGCATTCTCAGAGCGAAATGGGATCCTGCGGCTGGCTCCCGCACTGAGGATGACAACAAACCCCGCCAGGGTCGCACATCGCCTCGGGGCCGTGACGTGTCCCTGATCGGCAGCGCGCTAAGCCACTCGTTGCGGAGACTCCGCAGTTCGGATTCCAGCGGCCGCCCTGGTTATGTGCGTGGGTATGTATGTTGAACTTGTGTGTGTATGTATGTTGAACTTGTGTGTGTGTATGTATGTTGAACTTGTGTGTGTATGTATGTTGAATTTGTGTGTTTGTATGCTGAACTTTTGTGTGTATGTATGTTGAACTTGTGTGTGTATGTATGTTGAACTTGTGTGTGTATGTATGTTGAACTTGTGTGTGTGTATGTATGTTGAACTTGTGTGGGTATGTATGTTGAACTTGTGTGTGTATGTATGTTGAATTTGTGTGTTTGTATGCTGAACTTTTGTGTGTATGTATGTTGAACTTGTGTGTGTATGTATGTTGAACTTGTGTGTATGTATATTGAACTTGTGTGTGTATGTTGAACTTGTGTGTATGTATGTTGAACTTGTGTGTCTATGTATGTTGAACTTGTGTGTGTATGTATGTTGAACATGTGTGTGTGTATGTATGTTGAACTTGTGTGGGTATGTATGTTGAACTTGTGTGTGTATGTATGTTGAATTTGTGTGTTTGTATGTTGAACTTGTGTGGGTATGTATGTTGAACTTGTGTGGGTATGTATGTTGAACTTGTGTGTGTATGTATGTTGAACTTGTGTGTGTATGTATGTTGAACTTGTGTGTGCATGTATGTTGAACTTGTGTGTGTATGTATGTTGAACTTGTGTGTGTGTATGTTGAACTTGTGTGTATGTATGTTGAACTTGTGTGTGTATGTATGTTGAACTTGTGTGTGTATGTATGTTGAACTTGTGTGTGTATGTATGTTGAACTTGTGTGTTTGTATGTTGAACTTGTGTGTGTATGTTGAACTTGTGTGTGTATGTATGTTGAACTTGTGTGTGTATATATGTTGAACTTGTGTGTGTATGTATGTTGAACTTGTGTGTATGTATGTTCAACTTGTGTGTGTATGTATGTTGAACTTGTGTGTGTATGTATGTTGAACTTGTGTGTATGTATGTTGAACTTGTGTGTGTATGTATGTTAAACTTGTGTGTGTATGTATGTTGAACTTGTGTGTGTATGTATGTTGAACTTGTGTGGGTATGTATGTTAAACTTGTGTGTGTATGTATGTTGAACTTGTGTGTGTATGTATGTTGAACTTGTGTGTGTATGTATGTTGAACTGGTGTGTGTATGTATGTTGAACTTGTGTGTGTATGTTGAACTTGTGTGTATGTATGTTGAACTTGTGTGTGTATGTATGTTGAACTTGTGTGTGTATGTATGTTTAACTTGTGTGTGTATGTATGTTCAACTTGTGTGTTTATGTATGTTGAACTTGTGTGTGTATGCCTGTGTTGAACATGTATGTATGTGTTCAACATGTGTGTGTATGTTCAACACGTAGGCTTTCGCGACCAATATTATTCATAATAAAGGTTTTTGGGTTAGATCGCGTTATTTATAAATGTGTCGTAACCCTCCATCACCCGATACGGGCAATCGGTAAAAAAATGTGACACGTTGACAAAAGACAAATAGTTCACTACTTTAGCCCACCGGTGTGTTGAAGAGTGAATCCACAACATTTACAATTTTTTAGTAAAAACGTTTCGCTGGTAATTACATCCCCAGCATCATCGGGCAATTTGCCAGAATAGTGAAGACCTCCACTGGCTCCCGGTCTTAAATAGAGTAACAGAAGGATGACGTCATCATACAACCCAATCAGGTGCAGAGATCAGAGGCGGAGGGGGCGGGTATTGTAATTATATAATAGATTAGTAATCAGTTAATTGTTATGGTTAGTAATCAGTTGTAGATTAGTAATTAGTTGTAATGTGTATTATTTAATAACTGAACCCAATCACTATACCCAATCAGGTGCAGAAATCAGAGGTGGCGGAGGGGCGGTTATTTTAATTATAAGCTAGTAATCAGTCAATAAGTATGTGTTTCCCCTATAAGGAATTGTAATATGTATTATTTAATAATACGCTTCCAGGCCGCACTAAGCCTGTAGCTGTCAGAGCGATTAAAGTTATTTATATTTCTCTCAATTTCAATGGATTCTCTAATTAGTCTTGGCCAGTAATAGTTAGTTTTACACAACACTTCAACGTTATCAAAATCAATTGAGTGGCCTTGTTGGCAAGCATGTTCTGCCACTGCCGGCAGTTGTGTTTGAGATCATTTAATATTTCTTTGGTGTTCTTTTAGTCTTACGCTGATGTTACGTACCGTCTGTCCAATATAGCATCTGCCACATACGCAATTCATCCAATATACACCTTCTGTTGATAATTTAGGTAATTCGTCTTTAGTACAAGATACTAGTTTTTGAATTTTGTGTACTGTACCAAATCTTACTTTAATGTTTTGCTTTTGCAAAACACGGGCAAATTTGTTAGTTACTCCTGAGATATATGGAATTTTAATTGTTTTAACAATCTGATCACTTTCAGCAGTGTTGCTTTGCGATCGTGATTTGGCATTCCGTACTCTGTTAATTTGAGCGTTATTGTAGCCATTCTGTCGTAGTGCTTCTTTAACGTGTTTGATCTCTCTCACTAGACTTTAACCATCTGACACTGTTTTAGCCCGATGTATGAGCGTCTTGATAAGAGAGGATTTATGAGCTGGGTGATGATGTGAATCTGCATTCAGATAGACATCAGTGTGTGTTTCCTTTCTGTAAACGCTATATGGTGTTCTTTTGCCATTTAGGCCATGTCCAAGCAAAATATCTAGGAAAGGGAGTGTGTTATTCACCTCCGTTTCCATGGTGAACTGGATGGCCGGGTTTTGTGCATTGAAATTATTTAGAAACTACCATGTGTCCAGGCAACCAAAGTGTCATCAACATATCTAAACCAAAGAGATGGTTTTAATGTACTTTCTATAGCAGGAGATAAAGGAGAGCCCATTGCTGCTCCTTCCTTTTGTTTAAAGAAATCACCTCTCCATAATAAGTAAGTGTTATTTAAACAATGGTCAGCTAGTTTTGG